CAACAAAACAGATAACGAAGGCAGAGAAGCAGAAGCTTTTGCCATAAGTTGTGGTCTAACGCAGCTTGTCGATGAACCTACCCGTATCTCAGAAAGGGGCGAATTTGCAGCGCTTTTAGACTTGTTCCTAACCACCAATCCTGACTCGTACACAATTCAAGTAGATACTCCACTTGGTTCGTCCGATCATAAACTTATAATAACAAAGTGCGAAATGCTCATCCCACCAAGCCTACAACCACTTCCTCGTAAAATGTGGCACTATAAATCGGCAAAATGGAATGACCTAAAACAGTATTACCTGGATTTTCCATGGCAAGAGGTTTGCTTTAAAACAGCTGATCCCACTATTTGCTGTAATGAAATAACACAAGTAATCTTATCTGGAATGGACGCATATATCCCACATACAACTAAACGTAGAGCTAATGCAAAACCTTGGTTCAACAGCCAGTGTCAAACGGCTGTACAAGAGCATATAACCTTTGGAAACGACAACAAACCGCTCAAAACCACACAGAATTTATAGAAGCCAGAAATAGTTGCAAAATTACTATTGACTCCGCTAAAGAAACATACAATCAAAGAATAAAAAACAGGTTGCTGAATTGTCCAAGTAGTTCTAGGTCTTTTTGGTCTCTTGCAAAAGCTGTTGGATCTAACTTCACCAAGTCATCCATACCACCACTTACAGATAAAAATAATCACTTAGCCACAACATCAGAGGAAAAAGCCAATATGCTTGCCCAAATGTTTTCCTCCAACTCCAACCTCACAGTGCCAAACGGAAAAACTCCACCGTTCATTGAAAGGATTTCCCATAGTATGCCAGAGGTACCCTTTTGTCACAGAGAAATACGAAAATCCCTAAAAAATCTGGATACAAACAAAGCAATGGGTCTGGATGGCATTCCCGCAATAGTACTCAAAAATTGCGCCAACGAACTTACCCCAACTTTCGCAAAATTATTCAATTTGTCTTATAGGCAAGGAGTATATCCATCATCATGGAAGTCTGCCGCAGTACAACCCATTCCAAAGAAAGGAAAAAAGACAGATCCGTTAAACTATAGACCAATTGCCCTACTTCCGGTGATATCAAAAGTAATGGAAAGAGTTCTGAACAATCACCTAACCAAGTACTTGGAAAAGTACAAAATTATCAACGATAAGCAATACGGATTTCGAAAATATAGATCAACTGGCGATTTACTTACGTACGTCACTCACTTATGGCAAAAAGCGATTGAGTTGCGGGGTGAAACAAGAACAATTGCCTTAGATATATCTAAAGCATTCGACAAAGTTTGGCATGAAAATCTGCTCAACAAGCTCAAAGCAATGGGATTATCGCCGAAACTTTGCACTTGGTTTGAAAGTTACCTAAAGGACAGATCCATTTATGTTGCACTGGATGGCCAGAACTCCAACTCTTACCAAATAAATGCTGGTGTGCCACAGGGAGCAATCCTTTCGCCAACTCTTTTCCTGATTTACATAAATGACCTCATAGATAAAACAGTAAATCCAGTTTATTGCTTTGCAGACGATGGCAATGTAGTCTCCTCACTCATACCACCCACAGGTCTTTCCGCACGTGAATTCCATCATCTTAGACTAACTCAAATATCGCAGATAAATAACGACCTGGAGATAATAGAGGACTGGGGTAACAAAAACCTTGTACAGTTCAACGCACAGAAAACCCAAGCAGCTCTGTTTTCAAAAAAGAACACCACCGGTGAGCCAAACATCATGCTATCTGGAAGTGCTGTCACATTACAGAGTCAGTTGAACATCTTGGGGGTTACTGCAGAGACCAACATGTCTTGGCACAGTCACGTGGCAGATATTGCTAAAAGGGCCTCCCAAAAGCTGGGGGTGCTATTTCGTACAAGACATCTGTACACACCAAGCCAATTGCTGACACTCTACAAAGCCCAGATTCGACCAACTATGGAGTACTGCTCACATATATGGAGTGCAGCGCCCAAACATACCTTAATGCTTTTGAATACCGTGCAAAAACGAGCTATCAAGTTGATCAATGACCCCGCACTTACTCGTAACTTGGATGGTCTCGAACATCGCAGATCTGTGGGCGATTTATCTCTCTTCTACAGGTACTATCACGGAAAATGCTCTGAAGAGTTGGCACGTATGATTCCGAGAGTAGCACCTACCAGGCGAACCCGTCAAACAGACGGTAACCATGAATTTACTGTCAAACTAGAGGCACCAAGAACCTCATTATATCAGAATTCATATCTCTGGAGAACAGCATCGCTGTGGAATAAACTCCCTGCGACGGTTTTCCCTGCAGGTTACAACCTGAACCGTTTCAAGACCAACATACACCGACATTTCCGCGCACTTGCCGCTTCTCGAGCGTGATAGGACATTTCCTTGCGAATGCGCATATCCGTAAAAAAAAAAAAAAAAAAAAAAAAAAAAAAAAAAAAAAAAGGAATTAAAATCAAATTTGGTGTACAATATTCCTTGCTCTCAATGTAATAAAAACTATATCGGACAGACTGGTAGATATTTGAAACAAAAACTGAAGGAACACCAAAATGACCAAAAAAACTTTCTCTTGAAGACTAACCCAACAGCATTAGTAGAACATAAACTAGAGACAGGACATAACTTCGACTTTGACAACACCACAATATTACAAACACAATTTAACTACAGAAAAAGACTAATTGCTGAGATGATCGAAATACAAAAAGATAAAAATTGCGTCAATAAAAGAACAGATATACAAAATTTAAGTAACGCCTATTTTAACATTTTATCAACAACAAAATAATCATCACAAAAAAGCTTTCATATTAGTGTTTTTTGATTCGGATGCCATTCCCTACTTGGTTTTTCTTTGTTTGCTCCCACGAACGATAACACTATTTAATTTATTATTGTAATAGTAACAGCTGGCTGTGTCTGTCTTATATATTTTATTTTAAAATCATTTACTTTTTAAGTTTTAATGTGTGATTATTTTTATAACGTTTTTGTGATATTTTTTGATAAGTTTTAAACTGTACCATGTATGTGAATGTAACGTCTCTTATGAATCTGTACCTACCTAACAACTTCGTATATTGTTCATGTTATGACATAGAAAGTCAATCTCAAATGTAAGTACCCAATACTATAAACATAACTGGAGTTGTTAGGACTCTGCACAATAACATTGTCTTACCATTTTGTAGTGTCCTGAAGATGCAATAATATATTGCGAAACGTCGACAATCTGAAATAACAGACTTCTGTTGTTTTATTTCGATCCAATCCCAAATAAAACCTCAACCAATTACAATTAAGGGATCGACAACAAACTAACCAAGTAATAATATCAGTGTTGCCACTTGCCACCTGAATTTGTGGAAGTACAATAATAATTAGTTTCTATGTATGTTATTATGTATTTCGATTACTGTTCATAAATGGATAATTTCAAGTCTTCATACAAATTGTTTTATTAATTTTCTTGTAAATAATAAATGAAAAAAGTACTCGTTAGTCAGTCTTTGTTGATAAAAATCATTGATGATCACTTTTTAGAGGAGAAACGTCGGCCAATCATACTAAAGAGGTATATCGTTAAAAAGGGAATAGAGAGCGCTTTCTAAAACTGACATAAAAAATCCAGGTCCGTATTTGAAAAAATGAAGTTGATGATAGTAACTCGATCACGAAACGTCAAATTTACAATTTCAAGATGCCATGTTGTAGAGCGAAAACAATTCTAAAACTTTCAAATTTAAATTGTGTCTCGAAAATCAATAGTTTTCGAAATGATTGATGAAATATTTTTAGGTGTTTCTTAGAAATAACCCAGTATTTCATAAACCAAAAGAAATTTGGGTTTGGAAAAGCAACTTTTTTCTAATTTACCAGACATTGTAGCTCTTACCGTTTCCTATATAGCAGTCACTTAAAATATAATCCCTGTATATTCTGAATCAGAATAACGAGAACTTTAAAAGTTCAAAAGAAAATAAAGGGCATTCCATTAAAAAAAGTGAACATCGACATATTTTTTAACTTCGCTTTGCTCATTAAGTTCAATCTAATTAAAAATTCTGGCGATTCAGATAAAATGCGACAACTTTTGTATTTACACCTTTTACCTATCACCTGTAATTACCTTCGCAGATGGGTGTTAAAATATGGTGACCCACCCTGTACATAGTGGACCTTCAAAAAACGTCACAGCAATTCAGACAAATTAGAATTCAACAGAAATTCAGCCACATAGGAGATTAATTTCTAAAAATAGCTGAAAACAGTTAACAAGCCAAAATAGACCTAAAAAAAACATACCATTTGCTTAGAAAGTTGTCGTTTGATTATTTTATCGGAATAATGAATAGACCGTCAGGTACTGACAGATTTAGATCCTTCATTTTTGCATGCAAGCCTCGAAGAGGTTTGAAAATTATATTCATGTTGAGTAGAATGAAGGGAAATTTACCCGGAGACATGGAAAATTCGAACAGAAATAAAAGGTGCCCATAATTTCACGCAAGTCGTGTCCACTAAATGATTAATTAATAGAACCTGACTTTGGAAAGCCAAAGGCTTGTCTAATGCTGCAGGTGGCTAAAGGGTTCAATTAAGGGGCTAATTGTGTATGGAAAAATCGAGAAAATGTACAACGTCACTAGCCCTAACAACATATTGACTGAGTGGCAACATTGGTGGCAACTACATTTTATGGTAACAAAATCGAATTTTTCATATTTTATTTCTAGGAGCCACTTTGAGACTTATATGCGAAAATGGGGTACCTAAATCTGTCATCTGACGGACTAAAATTTTGGCGCATGTCTAGCTGATTTGCATTTTGTACATTTACTATGCATAGCCACTGTTTTGTTTTATTCAAATGTAGGAATACATTTTTTGTTTATACGTTTTTTGTTTATAACGGGATTTTGGGGAATTATTATCAGTAACAAATTAAAAATATACATTTTTTTTTTTAAATTTAGATCGAAACGTTAGAAGAGAAAATTATATCATTAGAATTAACAAAACCTGACAAAGACTTGGTGGATAGTGAAAAACACGACCTATCAAAAGACGAAGAATTGTTAGTTCCGAAAGATGAGAATGACGAATACGACACGGAAACAACTGCATCAGAACCACCTACACCGACTGTAGAAGAAAAACCCATCATATCTGTTAACGATGGTACTTCAACTAAAAAGAGGCGTCGTAAAAAATCAAAAAAAGGCAAACATTGATATTTCAAACATTCCCAAAAGGTTTTTTTTTTATTTATAGGAATTAAGAATTATCAGAACAGCTATATCTTGGTCTTGGGAGTCTACTTTAAATTTAATTATACCTAGTAAGATTTTTTAATTTATTTGTTGTATTCTATGTATAAAGTATCTTGTTCTAATTTTATCTAGCCTTGTGTGTTTTTTTTTTACTATTACACTACTTGATGGACGTACTCAGTGTAAGAAAGGATTATTTGATTTTTGACTTAAGTACCTAAATTTTCATATTTAACTTTGGTGCAATCAGAATTTTGTGCCTATTTATTTGTTGTTTGTTGCTTAAATTTTGGCACGTGTACTTATTAATGCCTAGGATTTTGCAGATTGAATTTTATTTCAATTTTTAGATCCAATTTTATACTATTCTCTTAGTATGTCACAAAATAATTTATAAGTGAACCATAAATTTTATTTAAAAATTAATTTAGTTTCTATAAAAATATATTATTGCAGTCAGATTAGTAATTTATTGGAAATGTAAACTCTGTATTTTAACTTTTTGGATAGGATGTTGTAAAAACGACCACAAAAATGATGCATTTATTTTTAAATAATAATATTAAGTTTTTTTTTTTTCTAGCATATGAGATATATATTTTAAGACGTAATGTTCATTGATATACTTGTTAATATTTTATATTCTTTATGTAAATGTAAAAACACAATGTAAACCCTATGTGCTTCGGAAAAGACTCAATAAATCTATAAAAAAAAGTTGGCAGTCTTATTTTTTTGGTGCGATGATTCCTTCTAGTTGAGCCTGGAACATTACAAAAATAAAGTATGAAAAACTAATTGAGCCTGTGTACCCACCTTCAATTGTTGATTGGTTTTTTTCAGGAAAGCAATTTCTTCAGTGTGTTTCCTTTCTTCAGCCAATCGTGTTTCTGCAGCTCTTCTATCGGCTTGTTCTGCTCTTTGTTTTAGTTCGGTAATTTGATGTTCCAAGTCCGATTTTTCGTTTTTGAGGAGTTCTACTTCCTGGTACAAGTCCGATTTACCTAGGCAATATCATAATTTTGAATATGTTTCCTGTGCCTTCAAATGACATTTTAGCAAAGTATTTCAGATATTAAAGAAACAAGGTAACTTTCTAGAGCTTGTTGTCATTTTGAAGCCCCATAGTTTAAAGTTGTTTACAAGATTTGTTTTTATTTCATACTGTATCGTGAAACACAGCTTTATGTAATTAGTTTTAATCCGGAAAATAAACTTTTACAATACTGAGTCCGGTAGAATATACAATACAGTGTGTCCAAGATAAGGATGGGATAGCATTAGGATCTGGAGAACAGTTGGGGTTTACAATGTTAGTTATATAACAGTTGCGCAATTAAAGTCTCAATGAAATGAAATGGTACTTTGACATTTGAAAAATTCCGAACTTTTTCCAAGATATCCGAAAAAAAAAAATGAAATTTTGCGAAATGGATTTTGCATAAGGAAATCGAGAAACTTGTAAAAAATTCTAATGCACCTGTTAATCTAGATAAAACTTCAAGAGGTACTCAAACAATACATGAGATTGAAGAGACGCAATCACAGCGCCAATCAAGAAAACTTAAAGTAGGAATATCAACCCGAATATTAATTATTTCGGATGAACACGGGAAAAATTTGACAGAAACATCGAAAGGCATATTGACTCGGAAATAGCTATTTACCTAACAAGTGTGGAAAAATATTTTTTCTACAAACGTGTTAAAAATGCAATTTTTAACACCCCCCCGAAGCATTAAAAATGTTACTTTATCGCACTAGTGCCATAAAGTCTTTATAGCACTAGTGTTAAAAATTAAACATCAAATTTTGAGAGCGAACGTCAAAAAAAGTTTGTATTTTTAGTTATTTACATTGATATTAATGGTGAAATTTGAACAACTGAGGTAGCCCGATTGGCCGCCTCATCTATATTTTTCAAGGGATCGATGCAACCCTCTTTTTCTTCTGTATTTTGTTGCATTTTAAGCAAAAAGCATTACTAACCACGACAGTCTTTCAAGAAACTGACAAGACATTTCATTACCTGTAAAACAAGGTGCTGGTTGTTTGAACTTTTTGACAAATGTCAAATTCAATAATTTTATGTAGGAAAGATGCTTCCAATTTATTATTCATTTAAAAATCCAATTTGTTACTGGTTATTGCTTTTTATTGCCGTTTGTAGAAAAAATATTGTATGATATTTGTGTTAAAAGTATTTTTAAGGCACTTATGTGAATTGCAGAATTCGCTTCGCTCATTCTGCAAACTTTCACATGCGTGCCTTAAAAATGTACTTTTAACACTTATATCATAAATAACTATTTCCTACAGCCGCGCGGAAAAATCGATTTTCCGCACTGATATGCGTGCGGAAAATGAGTTTTCCCGCACGGTGCGGTAAAACTTTTTTTTGACATATCAGTGCGGAAAAAGTTTTTCCGCACGGCTGTCAGTGCGGAAAAAATTTTACCGCACTGATATGTCAACAAAAAAAAAGAAAAATTTTAAATTTTTTCGCCTGTAGGAAAAATATTGTACCTAACACTTGCGGAAAATATTATATTTTTCCGCACTTGTTAGGTAAATAGCTATTCCGCAAGTGTTAGGTACAATATTTTTCCTACAGGCGTAAAAATGTCCTAGATTTTTTTTTTTTTTTTTGACAGCTGTGCGGTAAATTTTTTTCCGCACTGACAGCCGTGCGGAAAAACTTTTATTTTATTTTAATTATTATGAAAATTCTAATTGTAATTGTAAAGTGAAAGAAAATTGAAAATTAAATAATTTTATCCCATTTTGACGTTTAAAAATGACATTATTGAACGCATAACAATAAAGGCAAGTAGACGTTTATCACCTCAGTGATTTAAAAACATTTTAACTCACTCTCGGCATTTTAAGTCACTCTGCCCAACTAAAAATCTGAAACCTCAGTGATTTAAAATATTTTTAACTCACTCCCGGCATTTTTCCTTCTACGTTATTTATAAAATTTTCACAAAATGGGATAAAATTTTGTATACCTCACGTGAGTTAAAATGTTTATTCATTCGAAGAAAATTAACCCACTCGCTAGGGCTCGTGGGTTAAACTTTCTTCTCATGAATAAATATTCATTTAACTCACTTGGTGTATAAATAACTATTATCCAATTTTGACGTTTAAAAATAACATTATTGAACGCATAATAACAAAGGTAAGTAGGCGTTTATCACCTCAGTGATTTAATAGTTATTTACATTACAAGTGCGTTTATGAACATGATTACAATAACGAGTGTGAAAGATTAAAACGACGAGGTCGTAGACCGAGTCGTTCTAATCACACGAGTTTTGTAGTCATGTTTAAACGCATGTGTGATGTACAACGTTTTATTTACAAAGCGAAAAATAAGAATGTTTATTCAATTAATTTCGTTTATTAGTAGTTGTCTACCTTTATTTTACCTTTACAGGTTTACCTTTGACATTTGTCAAATCACCAAAAATAGTTGTGTTATAGATTCATAACCTCGTCCATAACACCACTAGTTGTGTTATGAATTCATAACCTAGTCTATAACACCACTAGTTGTGTTATGAGTGAACAGAGTTGGGCCCTTTGTGTAGTTCACTAGAGGGTTGTAAGGCCTCCAAGGTCCGTATCTCTGTGCGTGACGTCCAGGAATTATTGCCTGAAAGTCACTAGTTATCTTGAACCAAGATAACGACTACAAAGCCCTTAGGGAAGAACTTTGGGGATAATTATCACAAATGGCTACTTTGTGTAATTAAATGAGTAGAAACTATTATTGTTTGATACTGGCTTTATTATTCAAATTGATTCTTATTTATATTAAATATTTCAATTTGAACCTAACAATATTTATCATAACTAATAATAATTAATTACAATATTTTTCATAAGTTAATAACAATTAAAGGTGTGTTGACTTTGTATCTAAAACACTGGCGCTACGCGGTATCATAACGGAAATTAAGGTGAAAAACCCGTGAACATCGATTCGTGGTTTTTTAGTAATTTATGTTGATTCAACAATGAGTCTCATAACATAACTCAATTACTAGAAAAATGGTTATGTAAAAACGTCATAACCAAACGCTTGTAGATAAAATATTTTTAACTCACTCTCGGTCTTTTAAGTCACTCTACCAGTATGGAATCTGCTGCAAATACAAACAAACAACTAGTTATACCCTAGCAACCACCAATTTCAATATTTAGACGTTTTCATATGCTGCTTAATGAATTATTTTTATAATTTGATTCCTATTAATTTAAATGTCCATCAAAATAGGATAAAATTTTGTATACATCACGTGAGTTAACATGTTTATTCATTCGAAGAAAATTAACCCACTCGCTAAGGCTCGTGGGTTAAACTTTCTTCTCATGAATAAACATTCATTTAACTCACTTGGTGTATAAATAACTATTATTTTAAATTATTACTAGCTGACCCGGCGAACTTCGTACCTCCTCTGAATTATTAAATACCTATTAAATGTTGTGTTAACGTATCTATTAACTGAATTAAATTCAGTTTTTTTCGATGGTGAATTTGGCTTTGGTCGAAGAAAATTAATTTTTACTCTCTGGATCAGAAGTCACCTAAAATTAAAATTTTACATCATCCCTTTTTAGGCATCTTGTGGGCATTATTCTTATAAAGTGTACCACCAAATAAATAAACTCAGGCACAGGAATGTTCAAAAAATGTAAAGAAAACAAAAAAAATCTCCAGCGCAGCCCTGTTTCATTTTATCTGCACTGCATGCACTGCAATACTCCATCTGTTGTACTGTATCTGCACTATTCTATCTGATCTACTCTTTCTGCACCACTTTATCTGATCGGAATAGTAGAATAGTTTTGTTCAGAATAGCTCCAGTTCCTTAGCAGTATTCTGTTCTACTGTATGTGCAATGAAATTACCGCGCAACGGCGAGCTTCGTTCTAGTTACAGGGTGTTTGTTTATAACTGGAACGCTCAATAACTTTTTTATTATTGAGAATAAAGGGCATGTTTAAATTGGAAAATTTCTTGATAAATTGCAACGATCTTAATCGCTACAACGATATTTTTTTGTCGCCATAGGTATACAGGGTGCGCCAAAAAAGTCATTTTTTCCAATGGAACGTCCTGTATATTTTTGCATTTTTGAAATTCTTAGAAAATTAGCTTTACAAACATATCAAATATTATTTGGATAACAAAAATATATAGGGCATTCCATTTTAAAATAAATACCTTTTTGGCGCACCGCTGTAAACCTAGGACGACAAAAAATATCGTTGTAGCGCTTAAGGTTGCAATTAACCAAGAAATTTTCCAGCTTAAACATGCGCTTTATTTTCAATAATATAAAAAAGTTACTGAGTGTTCCATTTATAAACAAACACCTACACTTTATTTTTTCCCAAGATAGATTTTGACATTGAAAACTTTGAAACATAAACAATAACCCTTGACCCTGATTGGTCGCAAAATGAGGTGTTTCTGCAGGTTGACATCAGTTTTACAATAGCAACCAATAAGCGGCATTAGCGGCATTGTTTATATTTCAAAGTTGACAATGCCAAAATCTATCTTGGGAAAAAATAAACTATAGTACCTATCATATATGGCGCCGTATACAAAATGGTTGTGGCGGACTCATAACCTGGCTCTCTGCCACTCGACACCAGCCGGACGGAGCACTCCGAACAGTCGGCACGGAACACGGCTGTCAAGGGATGCCTAAGAGGAGAAACGGAACTTAGCCACAGAACGTCAATGGTCAAGCATCAAGAAATGACAGGTAGACCAGTTCGCGCTCTTTCGGAATGAACGAACCAACAACAAAATAAAATACACAATTTAAACATTGTCATTCTATTTATTTTTGGACATTTTTACTGTGAAGAACAATTAAAAATAAAGTGCTTTCCTCAAATTGTTTTTGTGCAAAGTGTGTGACAATAAAATCCACATGGTTTGCAATGAAAATGTGACGGTAAACTTGGTATCGGTTATAAGAGATGGCGCCGTATGCGGGCTTAGTGAGTTTTTTTCATAAATAAGTAAAATAGATAATTTTTTTTTTTTTTGGGTTTTTTCGATTTATTATCCTAGGATGGACAAAGACAAATCCAATAAAGCAAAAATCATAAAAATCAGTCCAGCCGGGTTGTCGAAACACACAAAGGATATTTCCACTCACCTGGGTGTTCTTATAAGCTGTGTGTATACCGGGTGGTCCTCCGGGAATGACATCGATTGCTTATGGGAAAACTGTGAAAGGTAAAAATTTGAAAATTTGGCAACATAGCAATGTCGATGGGGGACATCCAGGTAAAATATTTTCAAGATGGCGGCATTTCCGGTCATACCGGAAGTTGATACCAACTCGGTTATTTTAAATAGAACACCCCATATATTAATGTATTTTTGGATTCTACATAAAATTCTGAGCAGATTTCATGTAATATACCCTATACCTAAGTTCAACTGTTTTGGAAATATTGACAGTTGAAAATTGACTTTTTGCAACTTTGACAGGCTGTAAAACCTGAACAATTAATTTTAGAGGAAACCCGATTTGACATTCCTATCTTAGATTTTTATAAACTATCATTTGACATCAACTTTGAATTAAATCCATGATTAAAAATTTCAGTTAAATTTAATCTCCGTTTAAGTTCAAAGTTGGTGTCAAATGATAGTTTATCAAAATCTAAGATAGGAATGTGAAATCGGTTTTCCTCTAAAATTAACCAATTAGGTTTTACAGCTTGTCAAAGTTGCAAAAAGTCAATTTTCAACTGTCAATATTTCCAAAACAGTTGAACTTAGGTATAGGGTATATTACATGAAATCTGCTCAGAATTTTATGTAGAATCCAAAAATACATTAATATATGGGGTGTTCTATTTAAAATAACCGAGTTGGTATCAACTTCCGGTATGACCGGAAATGCCGCCATCTTGAAAATATTTTACCTGGATGTCCCCCATCGACATTGCTATGTTGCCAAATTTTCAAATTTTTACCTTTCACAGTTTTCCCATAAGCAATCGATGTCATTCCCGGAGGACCACCCGGTATACACGGGGATCCCCTGGAAAACGGTTCTCCACAACCACCAACGTATCAGCATCGACTTAAGGCACTCGAGGTCCCTTTTTAACGGCACAAGACATAGACTTTTCGAGCTTAAAACACGGAACCGGAAAAAATTGCAACGTGCATATGAAGCACCATTTATCTAGTGTGTAAATCCAAATCTTCAACGGCTGTCTCGGTCGGCGCAGGGTCGTAGAAAATACACTCCTGTGTGTTTTACGCGAAATTAACATTTAAGTAATTCTTTAATAAGAATGAGAAGAAACCAAATTTATAAATAATGTTGCGTTAACAGTTAGAAACTCCTTACTGATAGCATTCGTGTCAGAGATTGCATTTGTCCAAGCTAACATGTTTAGTGATTCTACAGCGTCTCTTGCTAGTAAATTTTCATGCAAATTATTTGCAATATAAACACAGCCTACAAAACATTGATTTTGCCACGCAATAAACGGTTCAGGTGCCTAAAACCTCGATTTTTCTTCCAGAGGCAGATATTAGGATTTTCTGTGAATCGACAAGTTTTATATTTTTCAAAGGATAACGCACACCTAACATGGGATTCTTGGGCTCTATGGATTTTGACCATTTTTTGATATCTCGTAGAGGATTTATATCGGAACAACCTTTTAATGGGACGAAATCTTGTAGGTATTACGGTCTTTGAGATATGAGCGTTGAAAGATGAACTTTTTTGCGGCTTTTTGTGTGGAGAGTATACGAAAAACTGGTCACAAACTGGTGCTTATCAGTCAAAATTATGACAGGTCAACATATTTCCTGTCACTAACAAATGTCAACATAGGCTAAGGCCGGGACCGCACTGGCGCCAACATTGACCCCAGTGTGGTTCCGGCCTTAACCTATTTTGAAGTGACGTAAAATATAAGAACCTGTCAATATTTTGACTGATAAACACCAGTAGCACCGGTATCTCGTATACTCTCCATACAAAACGTCGCAAAAAAGTTCATCTTTCAACGCTCATATCTCAAAGGCAGTAATACCTACAAGATTTCGTCCCATTAAAAGGTTGTTCCGATTTAAATCCTCTACAACATATCAAAAAATGGGCAAAATCCATAGAGCCCAAGAATCCGATGTTAGGTGTGCGTTATCCTTTGACAAATTGTCGCTTTTTATTACGGTCACATCTGTTCCAGTGTCAATTTTGGAAATCACGGTATGCCATGGACCAGCATTCCTACCAGCTTTTACCAAGCCCAGAAAAGCAAATTCGTCATCGCTCAGGGGGGAGAAGGAGCAGAGTCCTGAGTAATAATTACATCATTTATTCTTCGCGGGTCCTGATCGCGTCTGAAGCCTCTTTCACCTGCTGCATTCATCCTTTCTTGCAGGACAATCAACGAATGTGTGCCTTGGAGTTCTGCCATATTTTCGGCAATCTTTTGTTTCTGTGTTTGATTTTGGGTTTTTCCCATAATTTCAGTTGCTCTTACTGAATGATTTTGGGCGCGCCCCCGGCCCTCTGAACGTAGTCAACTTCCAGCTTTTCTTCGACAATTGGATTAGAAGTAAGGATATTGGCTCTCACTGTTCTTGTGCAATGTTTCGGCCAATCTGGCACGCCTTACCCTTACCGGCCTTACCACATCTTCCAATGTGTCATCTGAGCGTGCTTGTAGCTGTACTGATAATTTATTATCTGCTAACCCTGCTATTATTCCTAATTTAATCAATTCTTTCCCTAAATTGTCCCATTCACAATTTTGGGCCATGAGAGGTGAAATCTGTAATAAAAGAGTCACAAGGCTCGTCTGGGTTCTGGGACCTTTACAAAAATTTCACCTCCTCGTATACAAGATTTTTCTTTAACTGTCCAATTTTGATATTACAGTGTTGAAATCTGCTTGTTGCATTTGTGTTGAATAAAATGATTTAAAGATTTTCTTAGCTTTTGTGCCTAACAAACTGATCAGATAGTCAACTTACTGTTCTGATGAATGATTACTAAGGACTAGGTATTCTTTTTTTCTATTATTAAAAGTCCTCAGCTTGAAAAGAAAAGTGAGATGGAAGGGGAATTGTGGCCTCATCCTCATGCATAATTACCGGTGTCGAAGCTGTGTTTACTGCATTTAGTAATTGATGCTGCTGCAATCTTAATAACTGATATATTAAGTCTTGTTGCTGATTAAATTCGTCCGCACTCAATCTAATAGCATTTTCCTGTTCACTAGCCATGATTGAAAAATGTGAAGAGAAGACAAAATCAACAAAACAATCCAAAAAGTCTACTTTCTTTAAAAAAGAAAAAAATTATCTTTCAGTCTACCAATATTGTTGTGATTCTGGCAACATCGAAGCTACCGTCCCGTTGCATTCACCCGAAACGCAAACACCTGGCTCGGTTCTGCGTTTTGCAGGCCGGCAAGGTCTGTTTTCACACTAAAAATCCGCACTATACTCACTGGCTAGAGTCGATAGGTCACTAATCGAATGAAAATTTACTATTTTTACCAGTACTTTTTGCCCAAAACACGAAAAAAAAAAAACACTGTCACCATGTAGCAGTCTGTGGTACGCTTACCTGATATCAATTGCTGGGCTCTGCGCCGAGGGCTGCTATCCCGACTTTCGAGCGGCGTTGCCCATGCCGAAACAAGTAATCTATGCCACAACTACTACTATTTTTTCCTAGCTTATTTGAGAAGATATTTCAAAATAAATGTCACTTCATCGTTACCACTTTTCCGACTCTACAAGATAACAATTTTAAAATTTGACGTTTCGTCTTTGAGCGACTATCATCAACTTCATTTTTTCAAATACGGATCCTTATTTTTTATTTAAGCCTCTGATGTCCCAAAACCAATGACGTATTATTGCACTTCGTTGAAAAATTCACATTATACGCACTTTCAAAACATTATTTTTTCAAATAAATGCAATACTTACGTCATAGGTTTTGGGATATCAGAAGCTCTTAAAATCTGAGATAGAAAATCAAGGGCCGGCGTATTTAAAAAAAATAATAATTTGATTGATGGTGGCCCAAAGACGGAACCTGTGGTTGTTACGATGAAGTGACATTTATTTTGAAATATCTCCTTAAACAAACTCAGAAATAATAACGATTTTGCAAAATTGTGGTTTGTCCGGATATCTCGGAAATCGAAAGTGTTCGGCATTTTTCAAATATCAAAGTACCATTTTATTGAGCGTTGAATTGCGCAACTTTTTCCTAATCTAACCAACGTTGTTACTACAACGGTTCTCCAGATCCTAATCCCATCCTTATCTTGGACACACTCCATCCCAATGCCAAAATTATTGCATTTAAAATCGTCTGAATCAAGAAAAAATTTATTGATGATGATTGCAGAAGAATGAAATTTCCAATTTGGAATATGGACGGACGAAAAATACCAATGTCATGCAATAGTAGTAGAAAAAATGTTGTCCGTCACACGTGCGCAAAGTGTCTTTCACGCCCTTAAAGCTTATTCAACTTCGCGTTCGTTCTATAACTGCTTCTGCATGCGGGAAAGTATCACTTTGCGCACTTGTTGGGAAGATTAATATTTCATGAGCGACAACTGTCGGGTAGTTTTAGCGTTTAAATGCCTGGAAAGATATATAAGGCAGACTTTTGACTTTGTCTTGTTGTCAATAATATCTGAAATTGCATTATATTTGGATTTGTTAACAGATAAGCTTTTACCTTGTTCAGCCTGAAGCGCTTTTCTCATACCAAAAGCAATACTACTACAATAGAGCGCCTGATACGCCTCGATGGTCATGCGCATTTCATCTCTCACCCTCAAAAGTAACAAACCTCTTTCGGCACAATTAATGGTAACTTGTCTGATAATTTCATCAAAGCATTGAGTGTAAAGTTCACGCCTCACAGGACATATTCCTGTTTCTCTAGCCTAGAAGTGACAAGAAAAATTTATTGTGCAAAAATTAGCAAAGTTGTTTCACCTGTCTTTGTTGTAATCTCATATCAAGTTGTTCTTGTAAGTTGCCCACGTCCAGTCTTGTAGCTGGAGTCGTTGAAACTTGTTGTCTCCATAATTGATTGTCTTCTTCCCATTCTTTGGGAGGTAGAATTGTATTTAAAATTTCTTCAGTTTCGTGTTTTTGTTCCAAAGCGATTGAGGCCTTTTTAATATTTTCACCGTCTCCCTATAAATACAGTAACTTTGGTGCAAATGATTTTGAAATATTGACAAACGCTCTTACTACATCAGCGGAAGTGGAAGGTCTTTCATGTTTAGTCACTAATATCGGATTATCGTATTTCACCAAAGTGGTTGCAGCAGGAAGTAATCGTTCAGCCATATTTTTATATTTCTCTGTGAACTATCTGTCAAGATTGTCAATATAAATTCCACCCCGATAAATTGTGTTTCTGTTCGTAGTCATAGTAACTAAATGTGAATTTTTGGTTATATTGATGTAACATTGGATGTAGTTTCAGGATGTAATTATTCATGGCGTCTTGCGTCTTAGAATCGATAATTTAACTCCTCATAGGAACTCGGACTGAAACTTGAAGAAAAAGGGTTGTCCTAGATTAATTCATATGATACATTCAATTTTTTTGACAAATTAAAATGAATGACTGGAATGACTTCTGGTTTAAGAACCGGCGAACGTTTTTGACGTCATTGATTTGTTTCAGTCAATTTCTATTTGTTAAAAAAGGAAGGCAAATTATGTCAAAAGTAAGAACCCGTGAAACAAAGTTTACATGAAATTTCGATTTGACATATAAAAATATCAGATTCGGATCTTTAAATTTTGAATTTTTTGTGTGAAATCGTTTTAGTTTTTTGCCGTTTTCTATACATTATATGTTCTATTACAGATATTTATTATTACCTACTATGAAGGATTTCATTAACTTAACTTCCTTTAAAGAAATTGGAAATACATTTTTTTCTGAAATGTGTATCACTTTTCTAAATACGACCCTGTCGTTTATCCCAGCTGATGGAATCGAAGCGCTAAGGCTGAAGACACAATGAGTACCTACTATACCTAATGACAAATACAAGGTACAAGAGACAGATACAGAATACCAAAAAATCGAAATTTTGTATCGAGTCATGGCAAGTAAATTGTATCATGTATCCAATTATTCTGGGTTATAGCACTGATACACGTGTTATTATATTTTTGTCTCTTGTCACTTGTATCTTGTATTTGTCATGGTGTCTTCAGTCTTACGCATGCTGGCAACCTAGACAAAGTTACTAGAAATGTCAACGCGAACTGTCAACTTCACTTTCTATCGTGATTTCAACTATATACGCTATCACGGGTGTAGAATAAAGATAGAGAATCTCTACGTGGATAGGAGAGAAACACACTGTTATTCGAGTAGCGGTCTAAAGGCTAAATGAGGCAGCTCTCCTATAGTTGAATTCACGATAGAGTTTAAATTTTGACCGTTATTTTCACCAGTTGAAAGTGAATAAAATCCCCAGATCTGTCCCTTTTTCTGTCAACTATCAAATAATGATACATGACATTTCGATTTGACATATAAAAATATCAGATTCGGATCTTTGAATTTTAAATTTCGAATTTTTGTGTGAAATCGTTGTCAACTTCACTTTCTATCTTGATTTCAACTATATGACCATTTCTAAAAATATTAGGACACACTGCGGCTGTTTTTTCCAATTAACTACCTCTTTTCTTCTCTACAGACTCCACACAGACATAGCATAATATCATGTGTTCAAAATACATATTATATTTGCTTCAATAGAGAAGTTTAAACTTCTATCGTGCCATGTGACACACTCCATTTTTTCTTTAATTCTATTTACAGGGTGTCCGTTTTTCGAGGTCAACCATATTGAGATCTTGGAACAAGTATATAGGAGAAGATCAATTAGATTGGTACAAAATTGCATGGGTACTTTTGATGCATTGTTGTTTTAAGCTTCGAACACTTTTGGAGATAGATATTTACAAAAAAAAACATACTTATATACTGAAGAGTTTTATTTTTTCTGGGCTTATCTAAAAAGATTTTGTAAAACAAATTGAACTATTATCACTGCCACTTATTGTATTGGAAACATTTAAAACTTAACAACGTTAATAAAAGTTGTATTATCAATGAACGATAAGCGATTTAAAAACCAAGTAGGTATTGAGTCTATTGGGTTCTTTGCTCATGCATCCCATCTATGTATTATTCCAACTCTTGGAGGCTAATTGCATTATTTATATTTGCATAGGTATAATGTTTTTATCCATCTTAAACTTACAGATATACTTTTTGTAAGAGGCCTATGCAGTATGTGTGGTTCTTTTCTTCAAGCCCAAGCATTAGCTTAGGTTTGAAGTCAGTATTAATTATTTATTAATGTGTAATAGGTAGGTACCTAGGTTCAATAATTTATCGAGTCGTTACTTAGGTATTTCAAGTGGGTTAGTTAAAGGGGGTGTAACTCAAAAATGAAAGTTTTATATATTTAAACCGTATCTTACTACGCTGAACCGTTTTAAAGTCACGAATGCATATAGGCTGTGACGTCTCACCGGCTTCAGAGACAGTATTTTCACGTGTAAGAATTTTCCAAAACAAAAGTCAAGGATCTCACTAGAGCGAATTGCAGCCACTCAAAGTATAGGGCACAGTTCACAGTTCAGAAGATTGCGGCGGTTAGTCGGTGTGACGTTACAAGTTTCCGCATAATTTATCTTCAAAAAGGATTTTCTCGGTAACTATTTTGAATATAGGACTGCGGTTTTCACGAGAGTACTTAGATTTTTTTTCTTGATTTGAGTAGCTAAAGTTATTTTTTTGGGTCACTCCCCCTTTAGGTACGTTAGTTTGTTTCTGTCCGGTAAGTTTTTTTGACTGTTTTGTATTGATTACTCAGCGTCCATCAGCATCTATTTTCGGATTCAGACATTGCTTCTATTCAGCAGATTCCTGAATCTGTAGTCTGTTGGTAGGAGGAATATTGTCAAAAGGTAATAGTTACCATGTTTTTGTCCAGTCCAGTCTTGTAAAACGAGTTCATCACAATGTCTATGAAAAAAATTCCTCATTTCTGCTGCTGTACATTTTGTTAACGTCTCACCCCATAATCTTGCAACCCTATATTTTTGGACGGTGGTTCCGAGTTTATGGTTTGGTTGTAGAAATTCTTACAAAACCCCCATGCCATTTCAATGGGATGATACCGAATGACAACGAGATAAGAGATTACTTACCAAGCTCTATCTTAAGGTAGGATTTTTAACTATGTGGCATTGCGGTGTGCGGTAGCGTTGTGCGGCTTTGCGACGTGCCGGTGAGTTGTGTGACATGTTGTAACATCGAGCTGTTTTGTTACCATGCGTTATGCGGCAACGGCACTGCGGCGTCGCAAGCAGTCTTTGCGGCGTGCCGCTGAAAAACTCCAAAATGTTTTTTACAGCTTCTTCTTCCATCATATTCTTCGAGCAAGAGAAACGCAGCAATGGTACGGGGAGTAGCTGATTCTATGTTTTGTTTCGCGACTTCAAAAATATTTCCCCGACAGTTGAAAAACAAATTTGCCACCAACAGCATGCGGGTTGCGATATCCGCAATATCGCAGTACCGCACACCGCTGCCGCATACCGCAATGCCGGATAATTAAAAATCCTACCTTTAGGCATGGAAATCGATATCGATTCGAAATTTTGGGGATGCATATTATTAATAGCGATGCAGAATTTGAACATAAAATCAAGTCTCGATATTGGAGATTTTGTCCCGTATCCCGATGGACTAAGTATACATCGGGACGCTAAACGTCCCGATTCCACATCGGTAAAATATTAATATTGCGCAAATTCTCCTTCTGTACGCTCCAGGAGATTGTGGTTCTCTGGATGGTATTTTCTGCTTGATCCTGATGATTTAGGATAGAATAGCAGAAGGGCTTTAGTACCAGACTTAAAGTCACGGCACTTGCACTAGGGCGTAAGATAGGTAACTTACAACCAGGCTAAAGCACTTGTAAGTTGGAAAGAAGACCCCAGCCAGACAAAGCACTCGCTATAAGGGTTAAATTAAACCTGTATAGCAAATGCTTTGGTTATAAAAATGACTTTTTTCTACTACCGTGCGTAAAGTACTCACTTTACGCACTGTTCAGAAAATGTAAAATTCCACTTCACGCACTAGTGCGTAAAGTAATTCACTTTACACACTAGTGCATAAAGTAATGTCAATGACAGATGTCGACACTGTCAGTGTAGTATTTTTCTGGTAAATTTACGAGTGTAAAGTTACAAATTCAAATATACCTTAGGGTTACTTGCAATTTATTAGTAAGTTTACTGCAATATTGCATTTTTATTACAAATATATTGGGTTCGCAACTTTACTGCAATAAAAAAGTAATGTTGCAACTGTAAATGCTATGTACAGAGAGATTTGAGTTGCGGTGCATAAACTCTAACAGCTTGTTCTAAAAACAAGCTGTTAAAATTTGTGCCTGAAACCCATAATCATATATAAGGTAGATATTTTATTATGAATAAAAGTAGGTACAAGTTTTTGGAAAACAAAATAAAAAGGTTGGTAGGTATATTATGTATATCTATAATACTCACAATAAAAAAATATACTTAGGTGAAAAACAAAACGTAAAAAGTAATATCTCAAAGCAAAATTAATAAAAATTCTAAACAGAAAAAAAAAAGAAATTTTAGATTGGTGGACACACAGGACGAAGTAGGTACTGGCTGCTACCACAGCTGCTACTTATATTGTCACCTGAAACAAAAACAAAATCAGGGAGTAGTTCTGTATTTTTATTATAATAATTATTTCCCGTCGTAGCCACTTTCTTTCTGGACATTACCTAACAAACGGTTTACCATATTTTTGATCCTAACTAAAATATTATCGTAAAATCATAAGTAATATAGTAATAATACGGGATTTGTAAGTATGAAAAAAAGAGGTTACGGTTTACAAAAAAAGGGCCCCATTCCGCAGTATTTTTGTAAAAAGTATTTATTGACTATGCAAACCTTACTCACCTTATTTGAATCCTCATCCATTGTAATCGCTGTATATTTATTTCATTTCTACAGGTTCTAAAATAAAAACTGAATAATAAAAATAACCAAAAAGCAAAGCACTACCTGAACCGATCCAATACATAATCCCAACACAAACACCAAAAATTTAGCCGAGATTCGCTTTATCACAGACACAACATTCAACAAGCAGACACAGCACTTAACTCAACTCAAACGACAAACAGCGACTTGATGGCGTCGATTTGCTTTCGGTTTAGTTCGTATCCCCGATGTCGTTCCGATCGTTATTAATG